GTATAAATGATGTAACAAGTGGGGGGGGGAACACCACAGTATTAACATGTTAACAACGGAAATCACCAATGTATTAAGTGGTATCAGCAGACTAACACAGGTTTGTAATGATTTCATATAAAGTGTCCTTTGTCAACTCATGAAACAAATAGAAACACAATGTAAGTGTATTTTAGTCAGAAAGACTAAACTCCTTATTTTTTAAAAGTTACTTTGGATTCTCCATGTTGACTGGAAAAATTGTAGGAGTACATGGACTATATTACAGGCTTATATGAATCAGGATTTTATTGTGAACTTAGAAAAGACAAAATATTATAAAGTTAGCACTGCGAGACTCCCCATTCTCAGTGTCAAGTTAGTATTTGAAATGGATTCATTTTATAAGAAAATGATACAAATAATTCAATCTTACAGATAATGACTTATACAACCTTGAAAATAACATACAACCCTAAAGGGGTAGGTAGGTTGCTTGTTTTGTTATTAACTAGAACTATAAGACCATTTTGGCAGAAAAAAAGAAACATGACTGATAGCTGTGCATATGAATGTCAAGTTATAGGCTTGTGTTCACTTTAAAGCTACTTAAATGTCAGCTCAAAGCTAAATTCAGTACTGAGTAAATTCCAACACATCAAAAACTTCTGTCAATCTACAAACCAAAAACAGCAAGATCTGTAAGCCCCAGACAAAACAAAGTCCACGTGTCTCAAGGAAGACCCTGCTGACTTTCCCAGCTATATCACCCTGAAAACTTGCTGTTAACAGAATCCACTCAGAAATCATTCACTGGGTCCATTGAAAAAACTTCCTTTCCCGTCTACTTCTGTCACTCTTGGAACAAGCCAGAGAGCACCAAAAATTATTAGGATATTTTAGGGCTAAATAGAGCCATTAATGCAGAAGGAAAAGCAGCAATCAGACACTCATCACTTTTTGAGTCTTCTTGACTTCTTAGTAGAAGCAACTAGAAAGCATCTATAAAATACTTAATTTAAAAAAGCTTTTCAGGGGCTGGAAAGATATCTCAGTGGTTAAGAGCACTGGCTGCTCCTCCAGAAGACCCAGATTCAATTCCACATGGCAGCTCACAATTGTCTGTAACTCCAGTTCCAGGGGACCCATCGCACCAAGCATACATGTGGTCCACAAATCAAAGCATGCAGGCAAAATACCCAAAATAAATAAAATACTCAAAATAAAAATACCCAAAATAAAATAAATAAATCTTAAAAAAAAAAACCACTACATAAAAACACAAGCCTTGCGGGGCGGTGGTGGTGCACGCCTTTAATCCCAGCACTTAGGAGGCAGAGGCAGGTGGATTTCTGAGTTCGAGAGTTCAAGGCTAGCCTGGTCTACAGAGTGAGTTCCAGGACAGCCAGGGCTACACTGAGAAACCCTGTCTCGAAAAAAAAAAAAAAAAAAAAAAACAAGCCTTAGCCGGGTAGTCACTCGCCGTTAATCCCAGCAATTGAAGGCAGAGGCAGGCAGATCTCTTGTGAGTTCCAGGCCAACCTGATCTACAAAACGAGTCCAAGATAGCCAGGGCTAGTCAAAGAAATTCTGCCTCGAAAATCACCCCAAAAAGAAATAAAAAAAGAAAAGAGAAAAAAAAAGTAAGGGAAAGAAAAAAGGAAGCGAATGGATGCATGAATTTAACTGCGAAATAATAACAGGATGTAACAGAGTTCTGAGCATCCACAATGACCAATCAGAGCCTTGTAACAGAGTTCTGAGCATCCACAGTGACCAATCAGAGCCTTGTAACAGAGTTCTGAGCATCCACAGTGACCAATCAGAGCCTTGTAACAGAGTTCTGAGTATCCACAGTGACCAATCAGAGCCTTGTAACAGAGTTCTGAGTATCCAGTGACCAATCAGAGCCTTGTAACAGAGTTCTGAGCATCCACAGTGACCAATCAGAGCTAAACAGAACTGAATTCCATCCCAGCCCCAGCACGTCCCTAACACAAGAATAAAACCCTTCTTATCTTGTTCAGCCATGTGTGCCTGCCACAAACTGCAAAACAGAACAACGCCCAAAACCAGCTAGTCTGATTTCCACTGAGGACAGACAGACTCTGTAGTCAGAAGCACCACAATGAAAGAACTCCCAACTCACACAGCTGCCCTGGTGGCTCTGCACACTCTACAGAACAAAGCCACACCACATACAGTACTTCAGACTTGAAAGGGTCTCGGAAAAGTTGCGCTGGCACTATTAATTTGCCAACAGTCCTAGAATTGGTAAAAATATTTCTCCTGCTCACTGAGTCAGTAAAAAAAAGATGTGCATAGGGCTAAGAAGAAGCTGGAGTCTATAGGAAGAACTCTGCTAAGGCACGCTGGCATAAGTATTACTAAACCAGTACTTCCAGATCTCACTTCAACATATATTTAAACCAGGAACTACTTACTACTCTCTTAAAGAGAAAGGGCCTGCTTTATATTTACAGAGTAAGTTTAGGAGAAAAAAAAAAAGTAGTGGTCACCCAGTAATTCTTTTTTTAAAAGAAAGGAAAAAAGACACCAAACCCGAGTGCCTGACAAAAAGAACAAGATTCTAAATCAGTTTTAAAATAAACCTTCCAGGATCCTATTTTACATGGCTCAGAGTAAAGGTTTATGATAAGAAGTTAGGTAGGTCCAAGTCCCACAGAGCATCAACATATTTCGACTGCTTCCCTTCAGCAGTGTAACTTTCCCCCCTATGTTAAAAGATGAAACACTTAAGCTGGGCAGTGGTACTGCACACCTTTGATCCCAGCACTCACAAAGCAGAGGCAGATGGATCTCTGGGTTCAAGGCCAGCCTGCGGACAGAACAGCCAGGGCTACACAGAGAAACCCTGTCTTGGGGGAAGGGAGGCAGATACAACACTTGACTCCACACAGACTGTGGAGTCCATCCACTGTTCTCACATAAATACCTAAGAGTAAGAATCCAGCAGGGAGGTAGCCCACCTCTTCAAGAGGCTTAGGCAGGAGGAGGACTGCCATGCTGCTACACACAGCCAGATATACACAGCAAGGACCTGTCTCAAAAAAAAAAAAAAAAAAAAGGTGGGGGGTGGCTTAAGAGATGACAGAACAGTTAAGAGCACATACTGTACTTGCTCTTGCAGAGGACCCAAGTTAGATATCCAGCACAGCTCACAAGCACCCACGGAAACCTAAAGCCTCTTCTAGCCTCTGAAAGCATCTGCACTCCGCTGCACATATCTGCACACACAGACATCGGAACAAGAAACAGGCAGAGGTTTCTAAAGATTTATTTTTGTACTTTTACTTCTGCATGTGTATTGTTCATACGATGAATTAAGTTCTATTAAAAAAAAAAGACCCAAATTTCAATGTTTATGTCCAATGTATTTATATACCAGAAAGAGAACAAAAAATCCCTGAGAAACAAAGCTGGGGAGGAAAAAAAAAAAATTCCTTCCATGGGTGCTTTTGTGTGACTTTTGTGTGGAATGATTCAATGACTCTAAATTCTGTTTCTACAAATTAAACTCTGTAACATCTTAATGAAAACCAGGACGACATCAGTTTCTGGTAAGTCTGCTTAACTATAGGCACAACTGGCAGAAAAGAACTGAATGAACCAGTAGAACAATTATCTGGACACCTGTGAGTGATTTCTCAGAAGCGAAACATCAGGAAAGGAGAGGGAACAGGATGGACCCTTACGGCAGGCAGACCGGTAACAACTGTCTCTACATAGAAGTACATTGTATCGGCAGGGAAACTGACATGAAATCCTGCCTAACAGAGCAGACAAACAAAGGATAAACATAAGGACTTTAAATATTTAGGGACATCTTTTAGGTGAACACTCATGTGACACTGGAAAGCATCAACAGGAAAAAGGAAGTTCTGTCTCTGGAGAAGCTGTTATGGTATGATAATGGAATTTGGCCCCTTTAAAAATCAACAAATGAGTCGCACAGTTGGGTGAGACTCTCTCTTTAGGAAATTAAACTGCTTTCCGCAGGAGCACTACTGTTGCTCTTTAAGACTTTTGGTCTTCTGCTTCAATTATTTGGGTGTTTTGTTTTGTTTTTTCTTATGACAGCAATTTGAAGGCCGACTTAATAAAAAAGCAAGATAAAATTTGGAAGTAATATACAATGTCATAATTAGGTTGAGAAATAAAATATGCTAAAGGAACCAACCTCCTTTCACTAAAAAGAACTCAAAAGACCTCTTAAGTCAAAAAACTATCCTTGGACTACATACTCTACACACCACACCGTGTCACCCAACTAACAAACAAGATCCACCTGCCATAACTAAAACAGACCTAGGGTTTACATCTCTAATCTCTAGATGCTAGAGCTTCTGGAAGATGAAATGTAAAAAAAAAAAAAAAAAAAAAAAAAAGAATAATTAGAAGCAGGCCCCATGATTTTCCCTCATTTCCTTTAGCTCCTGGAAACTGTCCCCAGCAAGAACCCGTGATTTACTGGTAATGTCAACATCCTAGAAAATTAGGTAATTAATAATTAAACACTGTGCAGGTCAACACGTAAAAAGAGATCAGAGTCACAAAGCACCAGGCAGCAGGATGAAAATTAAGTTCACTGACAGAAACTACTAAAATTGAGAGTCTTGATACCACAGGACAGGAATCAACCCCGATGATGCACCGATACCCACCGACCTCAAGCTCTGACCTTCACCCAAAATGACCTCCCTTCTGGTTCCAAAATGAGTACACAATCTTAATGCACCCGACAGAAAACCACAATCATGGTTTTCCTTCATTTCCTCTGAGAATGTGGGGGAAAGTTTCTCTCCCGAAAAACTGCATTTCCAAATTCAATCAACCGGATAACTTGGCAGCAACCCTAGACTAATTGCACAGCTCCGAAACAACCCTCTTTCCTATGCCTGTCAATTGCACTAGCTGAAGGCGAATCTGCCATCACCGACTCCCCTGCTGCGTGGGGGCGAACCCAGGGAAGGTTAGCGACCGAGGAACTTCATACCCACCTGTCCGTGATAGTAGACTGTGTGCCACTCATTGGGGCCCTTGGCGAGAGGTCTTCTTTTTATCCAACTTGCATTTTACAGTAACACCTCCACACCCCACCCCCAGTGCTCTGGGATCAGGCCCAATTTCGGCAGGGACACAAAAGTCCAACTCAAAACTCCATTCAGTCATCTAGAACATCCGATGGCAAAGGGGTCAAGGAAAGGGGATGCGGGTTGAAGCAAAACAAGTTAGCTCCCCAAAACAAACCGAGCAAGTCGGTCACAAGGCGAGCTCAAGAACTAAGAACGATCCTCGGCGAGGCACGGGGAGAAAACTTCGTCACAGAGGGAAGTCGCGAGCCGTAGGACGGGAACCGGGATACCTCCGGGACTGGGGTAGGATCGGCTCGGGGACGGGCGTCGGCTCCTGTCCCGAATCGGCGGGGCCCAGCCCTCGGGTCCCCCGCTCTATCTGGGACTGCCGGCCGCTCGTGGCCGCAACCTCCGCCGCGTCTCGCGCCGTCCCGCGCCGGGCTCGCGCCGCCCCATGTCCCCGGGCCGAGGGCCCTGAGCTGCTCCGCGCCGCCCCCACCCGGCTCCGGCCGCCGCGCTGACAGGGACCCCGTCTCAGCGCCCGGGGCAGCTCCCCATCCCTCGGAGGCCCCCGCCGCTTCTTCCGCAGTGGCACGGCGGCTCCTCCCCGACGCTCTGGTAGGCGGCGGCTCCCGCGAGGAGCGGGAGGTCCCGGCCCGACCCGGCCCGGAAGCCCGGCCCCCCGAGCAGCGGCGGCAGCGGCGGAGGCTCGGTGCGCAGGGCCGTTCGCCGGGTCTCAGGGGCACTCACGGGAGCGCGCACGGGGTGGAGGGGGCCGCTGGCGGTGACGAGCCTTGCGACCGCTGGGGGCGGGGGCGCGCGCGGGTTCCGGTTCCGGTTCTGTCCCCTCGGCCCGGCGCGACGGGAGCGCGCCGAGCCGTCCCCTCCCCCGCCGACTTTTTGGGCCCTTCTCCCTGGGACTTCGGGAAGCCGCTTCACCCGGGATCCCTCCGCTTCCCGGACTCTCTCTCTCCAAACTTGCGCGGATGCTTCCGCGCAACGCTGTCGCGGGGGATAAAGGGGAGCGAAAAAGTAGTTCTGTGTGGCGGAGCGGGCGGCTTCTCCCTCCTCCGCCAACCGCGCTGCCTTCACGGTCCTTGAATGCCCTCGAGGTGCAACCACCACAGTGTAGGTTCCACTCGGGACAGCAGAGGGGCCATGCCACAATCTTGAAGAGTTCACGTCGAGAGGGTCTTCGGGAACTCCCCGCCCCTCTAGTGCTGGACACTTTGATTCTTTAAGAGAATGGGTCCGTTCCCGGTGTCAAATGCTTTTGATGACTGCATGCGAGCCCAGATCCACGGCCCCGACAGTGTTAGGCAAACCTGCCACCCACACAGGTTTGGGGTGGGCCACTCACCTGGGGCACCTGCTGGCCTAGCCCCGCAGCGTGGAGAGGTGTGGATGGGGGGACTAGCCAGAAGAGGCTGTGGAGAAAGGATCTGGGTCCACACTTGAGCCACGAGTTCTTGATATAAATATTGCTTTTAGGCTGTTTTGCCTTGGCAAAATGAACTGTAGTATTTGCCAAATGGAGAAAGCATGGTGCTTTCCACAGCAAGTTAATAAGCTTGTTGTGAAGAGAGATGGAAGAAGAAATACATCTGTCCGGTAAACAGCACTAGGGATCCCTTTGAAGAGTTCCCAAAATGTTTTCCGGTTTCTTTTTCGATGGGGGTAGAGACGTTCAGCTAACCATGTAGTTTTATGGTTGAATAAATCTGCCCCTGAGGAAATGAAGTACCAGGATACAATATAGTTCTCCAACTCTGCCTGTAACCTTCAAGTGGCTATTCCTTTTATACAATTATCTTCAGACTTGTGAGCTTTCAATCCGTGTAGGTGGGAAGAGACTTCGGCCATTTTGTGGAAATCAAATCTAATAAACAATGGGTGTGGAGAGGAAACAATTACCTCTTAATAATGCTGTTTCTAAGTCATTCCACAACGGTTCGCGAAAGGATCGGATCATCGTCTCTGAATAGATGCATTAGCTCAAGGTGACGTTAGAATGGGGGAAAGGGGGAAAAGATAAACAGAAGCCTGAAATGACTCTCTCTTGCTGGTTTTTTTTTTTTAAGTTCGGGGCACAGCCAGCTAATTTTGTAATGTTTATTTTTGGAAAGAATGGAAGCAGATTGGAGTTCCAAGCCACTTTCCTAATGATCAGACCTGGACACGTTGCCATCTGCTGGTAAATCCCAACATGGCAATTCTAGCCTGAAGAATCCACTTGTTTCTACCTATAGTTGGAAAGAGTTCCAAAAAAAAAAAAAAATCTATATACAATAAACGAAATGTGAACCTTCTCCCTGAGCTGACTCGAGTTTTCTTGAGTGTACTGTCCTCCTCTCCCTTGACCTAATAATGTCACAGGGCAAGGATCAAGTGAATGGGGTGACTCATCAAATCATGAATTTTAAAAATAAGTTCCCGTCTTCCTTTCCAATCTGCCTCAATGCTCAGGGAGTTTTGGGAGTGAAGTGAACTGGGACCCCTTCCTAATTCACCTTCTCTTCCTTGCATACAAAACCTTTTGGCAGGCTGTTTTCAACATCTTTCCAAACTGAGCAACCCCAAGGTTCTAGCTGTGAGCAAAGAAGGCATTTTGCTGTGGGAAAGCTTTCAGAAGATGGTCTGCAGAGGACTGAATAACTACTGTTTCCGTGAAGATTTCTAATCACTCACAAGGCTCTGATTTTTTTTTTTTTAATAGCCCGATGAAAGGCTCATTCTAACTGCTCCACTAATAGTCAACCTGCGGAACACCTTCAGTAGAGCCAAGCAAACCAAGGCCTCTTCCCTAGGTAATATGTAGCCCTTTCCCTAGAAAGGTGGCACCAGTGACCCAATCCCTGGACATGCACTTTCCAATGGAACAGGTCACATTTGTCTTCTTTTTTTTTTTTTTTTTTGGTTTTTCGAGACAGGGTTTCTCTGTATAGCCCAGGATGTCCTGGAACTCACTCTGTAGACCAGGCTGGCCTCGAACTCAGAAATCCGCCTGCCTCTGCCTCCCGAGTGCTGGGATTAAAGGCGTGCGCCACCACCGCCCGGCTCACATTTGTCTTCTTATTCACCGTTTCAATGTGCTTTTTGAGGCGCTACTGTGTCCAGGACTGTTCTAAACATTAGAAATCCACTGTCTAGCTGGATATGGTAGCTTACACTTTCTCCCATCACTTGGGAGGCTGAGGTAGGAGGATTACTTGTAAGTTTGGAGGCAGGCTACTTAGTGAGTTTCAGCCCAGCCTGTGCTACAGAGTAAAGCCCTGTCTCAAAAAAGGGGAGTAGGAATGAGGACATAGCTTGGTGGTAGAGTGCTTGTCTGCATGCTTGAAGCACTTTGGGGGTGGGGAGAAACTGCTCAAACAGGTGGTAAAATCAGAATGTATTCTTCCTCTTCTAGGCAAACGATTTTCTGTGCCGATTGTGTGCTGACTGCTAGCTTCCATATTAAAAAGTAGGAATGATTAATGCTAAAGAGCAGATTACTGTCACCACAGAGTATGAATAGATGTCAACACTCCTACTTTGGAGAGGCTTTCCTCCGGGGCAAAACTGCCACAAAGATACAAAGGCAGACACTAGGTTTATATAAAGTTATTTTATTTTTTTTATAAAATTTAGTACAAATCATATCGAAATATAAATCCTTCTTTTGAGCACTATCAGGGATGATTACACAGTAATTCAAATGCAAGTTAAGTGTTCCCTTTTGTGTCCGGGGACACGGGGACACGAGTAGAACACTAATCTGCCCTTCATTTACCTTTTTTGTAAAAACAGGCAAGCTCTTAACTGCTGAGTCATCTTCACAGGAGTTTTTATCTCTGAATGTCCTCACAGTTACTAGTTAGAATATCAAGAAGAGCTGAAACAAGGAATTCCTCCCCTTATCACTTGTTCAGGTGTCTTGTTATCAAAAAATAAATAAATAAAACTCTACAGGCATTTCCTTGAGTTTGCCTCAAACAGAAAGATCTACAATCCTTTACTTCTGAGGAGGGAGGGAGGGAAGGAGGGAGAAAGAAGCCAGTATTAGATTAAGCCTGCTCACTTGTCTGGTCTGGAGCAGGTTGCAACGGTGCCAAAATACAAAAGCCAGTTTTGTTTTGTTGTTTTGTTTCTTTATGCCCGTGTGCCAAGCCACTCTCTTTGACTATGTTTTTGCTGAAATCAGCATTCCCCAGTTTCCAGTTCTGCCCGAAGTTTTGCTGGAAAGGAACACACCACCAGCATATCTGGAACACAAATCAGAGAAAAGGGGGCACGGTGCTGTCTGTCCAGAAAACAAAAACAGAAGCAAAACAGCTAAAAGATACCTCTTTAGCTACATAACAGTCACCTTAAAGGTCCGGCTGTTAAAGGACCTTTCCGTTTTCGAGAATGTCGCTATGTTTCTGACGACCTCCCCAATGACTGGTTTCTGTAGCTAATGCCACCCATTGGGTTAGTGTCCCCAGTGACTATAGAATGAACTGACATTACTGACCATTAATCTTGCTTCTTCAGTGGCACCATTTCCTGGCTTACCACCTGAATGAACCGGTCACCATAGATCTAAAGATCATGGTAAAAATAACAAATACATAAACAAATAATACCTTTTTTTTCCTCCCATTAAAGCCCTACATTGGAGCCAGGCATGGTGGTACAGGATTCTGAGCACTGAGGAAGCTTACGCAGAATAGAAATTATACAAGAAAGACCAGGAGTCTCAGAAGTCTCAGGAAAAGGGAAAAGGTGATTTTTTTAAAAGGGGGCGGGGGTGTATCTAAAACAAAGAGAAAGGAAGAAAGGGGGAGAGGAAGAAGGAAGGAAGGAAGCAGGGAAAGGAAGGAAATAGCCTGAGGCTAATACATACATTAAAATCTTTGGTTCTAGTTTACAGTATGTACCAGGAGCTGAAACCTGAACTCTATTTCAAGTACAGTGGAATCCACGTGGTAAATCCCCGTGGAATTTAGCCATGGCCTCTCATGCCTAGCAGATTAATTCACAAAAGCCCTGAGAACTGGCATACTTTTCCTGGTAGGGCAGAACCCGTACAACTGGACCAAGTAAACCTAAATCTACCCACATCTCATTCACCTTGCACCCAGAGCGCTAGCTCTACGGTTTTTGTGCACACAGTTAACTGAAGAATTGTACCCAAGAATTCTGAGCTGTTATCCTTGCAAAGGTCTGCTTGTAAGGTTAGAGAGGGCTCCCACCGCCAACGGTTAAGATTGCCTCACTGCTCCTAAACTGTTTCGGAAACACCATGGCGTATGCCAAATGACTGCTACGGGGAAATCTTGAATTTTGCCTTTGGCTATTTAGAAGGTGCCGACGTGACCTATTGCCATACAAGCTCGGGTCACCAAATGTTTGATTGACTTTC